CTGTTCTACTACTATTCCTGTTGGTCTATATTCCTGTCTATTGTATTAATATAGATGTTCTACTACTATTCCTGTTGGTATATATTCCTGTCTATTGTATTACATCTCTTACTACTGAACCAAGGAGAATAATAGTCCTAAATTGTAAAGCAAGGTTTGAGCTCCTGAAAGAGGTAACTGGAATGGATTGAGAGGGCATGTCTGAAGCTAAAGAGTGAAAAAGAATTATTTTACTATAGGTACACACACACACACACACACACACACACACACACACACACATATATATATATATATTTCATAGGAAGATTGAAACTAGGACCTTTACACTGGGCTAAATTCCCAGTCCTATATATTTTTTAAATTTTTGGGATAGGGTCTTGCTAAGTTGCCCAGGCTGGGCTCGAACTTGTGCTCCTCCTGCCTCAGCCTACCAGCATACTGGGATTACAGATATGAAACACCACACTCAGCTCCTATTTTTTTAATAAATAAGAACTCATATTTGTTAGTTCTGAGAGCCAAAAGGACTTCAGAGAAGATCTAGTCAAACTCATTACTTTATAAATGAGAAACCAAGGTTTGTATAGCTTAATAACTTGCCCAAGACCACACAATCAGTTCCAGCTAGTGTCAGTGACAAGAATAGAATTTGAATTTTCTTATTCACAGATTGATGCCCTTACAGACACCATCAGGATGATGGTCAAGTACAAGGAATACTGGACTGTAAAGGTTTGTAAGCTGCTCTGTAATTCATCAAGGAGAAGCAAGAGATTAATTCACTGAAAGGGGAGAAATTATAGCTCTTAGGAAACTTGTTCTCTGTTTTTTTTCATTTTGAAGAGAATAAAACTGAAAGAAATAAAACAGAATAGAGACAATCAAAACAAAACAATGAATGTGATACAAGACTTCAAAACAAAATAAAAGAAACCAACAATGGCTACCATGATGCTTCTTGCTATCTTCAAAATAACTTCCTATACCATCAGGCACAATAAAATCAAACAAAACATAAGAGAATAAAACCAATCAAAACAAAACAAAGAAAGCAATACAGGACTTCAAAACAAGACAGTAGGAATACAACAGTGGCCATGATAATGCATCTTGTTATCTTCAAAGTAGCTGTTTATACCATCAGGCATAATAAAATCAAACAAAATAGAATAGTCAATTAAAACAAAACAGTGAACATGATAGTAAGATTTCAAAGCAAGATAAAAGGAAATGAATAATGGCTACCATGATACCTTTTGTTATCTTCAAAATAACTGCCCATACCATCATGCATAATAAAATCAAACAAAATAGAGCAGAATAAAACCAATTAAAACAAAACAGTGAAAGCAATACAGGACTTCAAAACAAGACAGTAGGAATACAGCAGTGACCACCATAATGCTCTTGTTATCTTCAAAGTAGCTCCTTATACCATCAGACATAATAAAATCAAAACAAAATAGAACAAAATCAATCAAAAGAAAACAAGTGAAGCAATACAGGGATTCAAAACAAGATAATTGGAAATTAATAATGGATGCTATATATAATTTGTTATTTTTGAAATATCTGTCCATACTATCCAATATGATAAAATCAAACTAAACAAAAAGAACAAAACCAAGCTAAACCGAACAATGAAAAAATACAAGGTTTCAAAACAGGATATAGATTAACTGCGCCCACTGTTTCCTCCTCTAGAAATCTCCTCCCCTTTCACCTTTACATCTACTGTGCATTTTTGATTCCACTATCTCCTTTAGCTTTTATTATACTAGGGAGACAGCACAATGTTCACCCATGTGACTCTGAACCATTTTAATGATGAGCATGATCTCAAGTTGTGTTCATTTACCTACAACAGCCTTGAAGTTATCTTTCTTTATAGCTGAGTAGCTTTTCATTGTATAGAAATGCCAAATCTTTCTTATCCATTCTGCAGTTGATGGGCAAGCTACCCCTATGTTTTTTCTGATTTCCTGTCACTAGCATTGTTTCCTCTCCTTTGACTTTTAGTCTATGAATTTCCTTTTGAGTTAAATGTATTTTTTGAATAAATTATTTTGATGCATCCTGTCTCCTGATCCACTTTGCCTGTGTTTCATTTTATTGGTGAATTGAGGCCATCTATATTAACAGTTATAGCCAACATACACTGGCTCATCTCTGCCATGTTATTTTCCGGCCGTTGGCTGCCTACTTTTCCCCTTCATTCAATTGTCTGCCTCACTCAGTGATCCCCTTCTGCTGCTGTTCCTGGAACTTTGGTCTTTTTTTTATATCTCTTTAGAATGTCCTTCAGTATTCTTTTTAGGGTTGGTTTGGTGGTCATGAATTCCTTCAGTTGTTCTTTGTTATGGAATTATCTTATTTTTCCATCAATTTTGAAAGATAGTTTTTCAAGGTACATCAATCTAGACTGGAAGTTGTTTTCTTTCAGGACTTGAATACTTCAATCCAAGCTCTTCTTGACTTGATGGTTTGTGTTGAAAAGTCTACTGTGATTCTGATGGGTTTTCCTTTATGGATGATTTGTCTCTTTTTTCTAACAGCTTTTAATATTCTGCTCTTGTGCTGAATTTCTGGGATCTTGATTATTACTTGTCTGAGTGTAGATGGTTATGGTTAGCTGGAGTTCTATTTGCCTCATTTATTTGCATATCCTTTCCCCATGTTTGGAAAGTTTTATTAATATTTCTGTAAATAGAATTTTAGTGTCATTTGTGTGTTGACTCCTGCTTTCTCACTGACACCTATTATTCTTAAGTTATTTTGCTTTGTGTCATCTTGCAGTAATTGAATTGTTATTTCCTGGTTCCTTGTCATTTTTAAGAGATCTTTCCTTTCATGATCACAAGCTGCACACTTGTCTTTGAGGTCTGAAAGTCTATCTTCACTTTCTTTCAAGCAGTTTTGCTTGAAACTTCAGTGGAGTTTTTAATTTCCTGGATATCTCTTTGAATCTGTTTCATGCAACCTAAGTCTTTCTTATATTGTTCATTCAAGGTTTCCATCATTTTCCTATGCTCCTCTATTTTTTTAATCTATGTCTTCTTTAGAGATGCTTAGAAATTCTTTTATTATGTTTTTCATTTCTTTTTTTACCTGAGACAGTATTTCTGTTCTAATTTCCTTTATAGTCTCATGAAGTTTTCTCTTTACTTCCATTGCCATCACTTCAGAAACTTCAAGTGTGGACTCCTGATCTCGTCCATGTTTTAATTTTCTTGACTTGCTCTGCTTGGGTTGGAGTCCAGGGACTGCCTTTTGCTTCTTCATCTTGACATTTTCTTGGCTTCTACCAAACAAGCAGGGCTAAAGGGGGCCTATGCACTTCCTGCATTGACTATAATTTCTCCAGAGCATGATTGATTCTCCTGAGTTCTCCTGGCCAGTACTGGCTACAGGGATCCAAAGGTGGCCACACTGTATGCTGTTGCAGGGCCAGTTGCTGTTTTTCCCAGCATGCATGCTGGCCACTTGAGGTGGAAGTGACTCAAGTTCTGCTAGCATATATGGGGGCAGTGCCTACCTCTGCATCCCAGCTGGTTACCTGCAGGCAGTGTCTTCCAATGGCTACTGGAGTGTGTTCAGGGGCAGGGAAGGCTGCTGCTGCTTGCCTGTGGAGCTGGTTACCTCTATCTGTTTGTTGTTTTGGACTGAATTAATCTCTACTTCCTTCTAGCAGTGTCCCAGGATCTCTTGTATCAGGTGTCACATGAGTGAGAAGGTGAATATTTGGTAGAAATGGGGGAGAGTTAGGAATAGCTCTAAGTTTCAACATCAAACAAGTAGCAATTTAGAGAATGATGAAGTAAAGCAATGCAATGCATGTCTAAATCTATATATTCTTTAATAAAATGTGTTTTAAACAGGTATTGAAAACATGAGTCACAAATGGAACAATTAAATGTAACAAAAATAATGAAATTAAAAGATGCAAAAATTGAAAAGTAGGATCAAAGCATATTATAGGGAGGATTTATAAAAATTAAGAGAGACCTGATCTGGAAAAAGTGAGTAAGACAGGTCATTTCCTGAGTTAACAAAATAGAGGCGAGAAATCAAATTTCTTGAGAATTGTAGTAATGAAGATCTAGTGCATTATGAAGAATTGATGGGTAGGGGAAAAATAACAGACTCAATAAAAGATGGCAGGCTGAAAAAATGGGAAAGCATTTAGTACTTGTAGTCAGCCTAGATTCATGGCAGAAGCAAGTACAAAGACTGCAGTAGGTATTGAAGATTTTCCCTAGCATAATTAACTCTAATTGTTGTTGGGGCAGCCAGTTCAAAGTCAAATTTAAGTTAGACTCAAATGCATGATTGATGTGAGACTGTAAAGGTATTATAATAATGCAATATTCTTGCTCCTTTCTCTTCCATGTCAATCCTACATATCATTATTACTATTTCATAGAACATCTTTGCCTTGATTCTATTCCTTTACTGACACAAACGGTCCCAGAAAACAGTACCACCCTGATTTGGCAACAAATACTAAATGCTATGTCTAAGAAAAGAATATATTGGCCCTCCAAATCCAGGGCTGCTGTTGTCTGCCTTTGGGATACATGAAGCACTCATCCACATAAAACACTTTGTGTACATATAACTGCATAAATCTTCCACATCTGTGCGAAAAAGAAATGTAGATAGGCTCTAAATAAATATTTTCTGGCAAACACTCAGTACCACTACTAACAGTATTGTCTAGAGATTTTTGTCCTTTGGTGAAAAATATGCTCCCTTCTCCCAAAGCCCCCACATCATAATGCTTTATTAAATGAGTATTTTCTTCAAAGCAGTTCCCTATTGCATTAGCAAATCTACTATGCTAATTTTAGCATGAGTTTACTATCCAAACATCCTGGAGGAAGAAAGAAATAGGTAATTCAGGTGAAGGTAATGTATTTTTTAAAAATATTCTTTTGTGAAGGTACGCATTTAGCAACAATAAATGCTTCTTTAAGAAAACGATTCATGCAACTTACTTTATATAGTAGGGCACTTTGTTCGGTGAGATGGCTCTCTCCCACGGGCCCTGAACAGAAGCTGAAAAAAGAGAGGGGAAAAGGCAAGGAGGTCAAATTCACCACAAACAGGAAAGACAACATTAATCTCTAGAATTACAATTTTATATTGATATTGGTCTGTTTGCTCAGTTGCCCATGAAGACAAGATGGATTAACCTGCTGTTCTGAAATTTCTGTCCTAATCTAAGTGAAATTGAACTCATTCAGGCACAAAGATAAATGCAAAGGATTGGGGGAGGGATTTCTACTGCTAAACCTATAGAAGAGATAAGAAACAGAGGACTGACAGGTTTTCTCTTATGTGTCTTCACTGGGTGCTTTTCTCATAACACTTCCTGTTGTTACTTTTCGATATCTTTTTCTATTTGATTGACTAGGTTTTATTAGTTTAGCAGCTAAAGCATCCCTCTGTGATATATTTACATTTTTTATATTTACATTTTAAGTTATTGAAACTAAAGTACTGGGCTTATCACCTTGGTATGCATGTTTTTCTTTTTACTTAGTTTAAAGAAAATCCAATTTTTTTTTAAAAAAGGAGTGAGATTCCAAATTCATTTACCAGTTACGTTTAGTTTTATGTCTCAAAATGACCAGCATGATCTTGTAAGGCAGAAGCAAAAGTGACAGAATGGTATCTGATATCAAAGAGTAATAAAATTTTCACATACTTTATGTGCTTCGTGCTCATATGGGTATGTGTGTACGTGTGCATTTGTGCATTTGTTTGTGCTGCATGTCCTTAGAATTCACTTTGTGATAACCTTACTGTGTTTGGATCAAATCCATCATCTTGAAATGTTTTAAAGATGCATATGGACACAGCGTGTGTGAGGGGAGTCTTGCTAAATAAAATGCGCAGGCTGTCTTTGAACGTCTTGCTTCAACCTTCTGAGTAGCTAGGATTACAGATGAGTACCACTCCCTCTTATTTTTAAAAAATGCTAAGGTTGTAGGGTTTACATTTTTTTAAAATTTATGCTAGTTGAACATCTAAATATACCATTATAAACCATTTGATGAGGCTTTTTTCTTTCTTCAAGACAAAATAATTAAATTTAGAAGGCACTGTAACATTTCCTTAACTGTAAAATTATCCTTTCGAATATATTTTTAAGACACAAGAGTTTTAGAAAACATAGACTGTCAGCCAGGATAGAAATATAAGAAGCATAATTATTAACAGCTAGCAATTTTATGTGTACGTATTTTTTTCTGAATTTTTGTCCCACTAATGACTTGAAGCTTGGCGGACGCTGACCATTATTTCTGCCTATGAAAAGCTCTCTTCTAAATTAGCCTCACAGTAAATTCACTTCGTAGCATATTGAGATGTAGAAAACCGTCAAAGCTAATATATCCTTGACTACACTGTATAATATGAAAGAACAGCTTCTAATAAAAGCTAACTTCACCAGACAATTTAAGGGTAATGAAACTCCAGCTTCTTTGTTTTATATAGAGTAATGGATCGAATCACCCAACCTTTAACCAGACTTGCCGCTTTGTACCTTGGAGATACATCATTTGAATGATATAGGAAATGGATTTGTATTGAACTGCTAATTATGTTTTTGCTTTTTGGTAGACAGAAATTCTTACCATGGAGAAAGAAGACTTTTAGCTGCTGTTCTGAAGTAACTCTTTACTTTCAATTTCTCTCTGTCCTTTGTCTATTCCTTTCCTCCTGCTATCTCTTCTTCCCCTTTTATCCCTGCCTTTCCTATTCTCTACTAATTCTCCTCTTGACCTTTATTTCTTCCCCAAAATACGGGTTTTCTGTGTCCATTAATTCACAGCATAAATAAGTGCTGATTTAAAAACTTGGGCTGTACTCCTTGACCTACCTGGTCAGAGTCTGATGTTATGGAATTCTAAAAACCCCAGCCCTCTCTGCCAGGAAGCAGAACAGAGAGTCAGAAATCATAGCTCCTGGCTGCTTGGTGTACCCGTTCCTTAAAAATCACGGTGTCATAAAAGGAAGAGAACTCTAGAGAGCACTTGGTCCAACCCTCACTGCTATGAATGCCAAGCTTGTGAATGCCTACAACAAGGGGAAAAAAGGGCTATTCTTTCCTTAAAGGTCTCTATGGACTGAGGCTTCACACTGTCTCTATACTTTTCCAGTTCTTTATCATTTTAATGGTCCAGAAATTTGCTCTGATTCTGAAGATGCCAGGTATGTCCTTCAGTAACAGAAGAGTCAATTTGATTTCCTACACTTTGCCTAGGCAGCTCTTCATTTGCAGGCTGTGTGATCCAGCTAAGGTGCTTTTGTTCTGAAAGAAACAACCTTCAAGTAGGTAATCAGTGAGAGCAAGGAGAATCCATGGGGCCGAGCTGACTTAATCGCAAGACCTACATAGAGGATACGCAGTTGACTTTGTGTTGTTAAACATTAAAAGGAAAACAATTCCAATTGTGTGCTAGAGGAATCATCAGAATATGCTTGAACAAAGTAAGTGGTTGCAAAGATTTAAAAAGAAATTTTGATAAATTAGTAGTTCCATGTTAATAAGAACTTTTAAGTTTTTGTAATTGAAGTGCTTAATTTTAAATCTTTTGTCCTTAAAAACATGTCTTCTGTCTTTACGCATAGCTGTCAAATCGGTCCAATGCTAAGATTCAGTACATTTTTCTTCCCTAAAAGATGTTTTTCCCCTTTGACTCATAGTTTATAAATTCACTGAAGCAACTGTTTTGCAGTCATCGTTTGAAACCCTGAAATTTTACACTCCAAAATGTCCTTGAGGCAATAAAAAAGGAAAAATAACAACAGCCTCCTCCCCTATCTCCCCTGCCCCATCGCCAATCCAGGCACACACACTACTTGCTTTAGAAGTAACACACCATCAGAGATTGGTTGTGTGGGATCAGATTCAGTGCTTCTTCCTGAGAGACTGTTAAAGGGTCGGTGGTAATTTCATTTGGGGCTGCCAGACGAGTCTGTCTCTTATTCAAAAGTTGGTCAAATATGTGGTAACTCTTTTAAGCATACCTTCAGAATTATCATTTCATTTCTTGCGGTAGTGCCGACATCAACAACAGCTGTTTCTTATCTCAGCGCACCAGTAGAAGCTTGTCATCTTTCACAAAGCTACACACACACATATTTTATGCCTGGTGTGTCCATTTTTAGTAGTCCATCAAAAACAGATTTATTGGCAAATAGTTTTTATATGACACTGGCCTGTCCTTTGGTATTTTCTTACACAGATGTTTCTATAACCGCTACGTGTAGTTCCAGTGCAGCTCTGTGATTCATATTCTCCAGTGTAAAAATCATTCATTATCATACAGCACCAGCACCATGGGGTATTGTCTACTGAATTTAAAGAGTAAACTACACATGAATTTATTTACTCCAGAACCAACCTCTGAATTTCCCCTTGTGTTAAGATGCAGTACATTATGAAGAGTAAGGAAGGGTAGCAATTCTACACGTAAATGCTTTTCCTTCCTTGAGATGACAGAATTCAATACTGTGCTCAAGGTGGTTTTGAAAATCAAAAATACAGGCCACACTAAAGGAAATTCTGATTTCAGCCATGTTTTAATGCACGATGAACAGAATGTGCCAAGTGATGCACCCCAGTGTTAAGCCATATTTTATGCGACACAGGGGCCTAACCAGAAAATTAAAAAGAATGCTAATGTTATTTAAACTATGCCAAAAGAGCACTCTCTGGAATTCCAACCCAAACACATTCATTCATCTTTCTACTTTTCTCCTAATCAGGGGGGCCTGGAGCTTGATTACTTAGCTGGATCGGAAAAAAGAAAAAAAAAAAAGAGTTGGCAAAGGATAAGAAAAATTAAAAAAAATACACTCTATAGCTGTCCCTGGAGATAAAATACACAACTTACCTCTGAGCTTAAAAATTATTATTATTATTATTATTATTATTATTAATCACTGGTCCTTAGCTCCTCAGATATATGCAAATTCTAGTACTGGTTTTATGGACACATTCTGTGTTAGTACAGTAAAAATTGTTTCATCTTTTTCCCACTATCCTCCCCACTCCATCCCCCAGAACTAACTAACTTTCTTTCTTTCTTATGGTTTTTTTTTTTTTTTTTTTTTTTTTTTTTTTTTTTTTTTGAGAAAGGGCCTTACTATGTAGTTCAGGTGGTCCTTAAAATCACTGCGTAGCTCAGGCTGAATTTAGCCTTCTAAATGCGGAGATCAGAAGTATGTGCCACTGTGCCTAGCTTCCCTCAGAAATTTTATAGACACTTTTTTCTAATTTCTGTACCCTCCATGAAACTTTAATACCCAGATATACTGTGTGTATGCTTATATATCATGTGTATTTGTGCTTTATGTAAAAAAAAGAGTAATTTTTTTTTTAATTCTCCAGGAACCAATTTTTGCCCTCTTGGAGACAAACTCATTCCCACTGAGAATACTTGATGGAGAGGAGGGTAGGGAGTGGAGAAGAACAAGGAGTTATTAAAAATATCATGTGCCTAAATATAACTTAAACTAACTCATTTGGTACTCATAATAACTTCGGAGGTAGTTATGATTTTTTATTTTACAAATTATGAAACCATGATGACTACATGAAGTATTATGTCTAGAGTTCTAAATCAGTAAGCAACACATCCTAATTTTGGTTGATTACTCAAAATGAAGTTAGATGATTCATGAAGGAGAAAACAAGCATTGCATGTCTACTATGTAGCCTGGACTGTATATTACTTAATGTAATCCTCCCAAACATATAACAAAGTCTCGGTATTCCACTATCACAGAGGAAGAAGGCTGGGCTCCAAAATGTTTACCACACTCACTGAGATCACACAGCCAACCAAAAGTGCACGTAGGATTACAAACAGGTCTGTCTAGTCTCTGAACTTCATCATGTGTGGCATGTAATCAGTACTCAATAAATATTTGCCAAAAAACCCCTGAGCAAATAAATAAATCTTAAAAGGGATTGGAGCATCATCTAATCTAAATTCTATACTTTATATCTGATTTCTACATTTACCTTTTACATAATTTTTACC